GGGGGGGGGAGGAGGAGGGAGGGAGGGAGAGGGGGCGGGGATATCAGAAAGCCGTGGTCGTGTTTGTATAGTTGGTGTTCTTGCAAGAAAATAAACAGAACACAACACGAAAATGAGGTGCACGCTTAGAAGGCAAACAAACAGAAGAGCAGTTCTCGAGCATGCAGCCGGACGTACATCTGAAACGACACTCGACTATCCCGGAGGGCAAGATTTGCGCGAATGAAACACTGCTGATAGCTAAAGCAAGCGGACGGGGGGGGGAGGTGGAGCCACCGAAGCGCATGGGCGGGTATGAGTCGGAAGGCTTGTCTACCTTCGATGCTTGGTTTGGCGGCAAAGACACGGTATCGACGGAACGCAATAACGACAACAGCGACGGAGGGAAAAAAGACACACCCACACAAATTCTATGATTCCTACGGTCGAGTAGAATGGTATGGTGCACCCATTTTTTCGCAGTTGGCCCGTCATCACGAAAGGCTTCCGTCCGCGTCAACTGGGACCAGTATGCACAGTTATCATACCCAGACAGGAATGGTTTTATCGCCAAGGCAACAACGAACAACAACTAACACGCGAAAACAACAGCAGCGTTCGCAGGTATTTCGTTCAAGTAAACACGCAATCTGGTTGAGGGACAGGGTTTGCGTATCCGCTCCCTGTTCTAAATAATTCTTCATGAACTCAAGTTCTCGCGAAGGAAGGAGGATCCGTTATGAAAAGAAGAAAAAAAGTTTGTATGGATAGAAAGGGACTTGTAATGTTACACGGTAAGGAAAAACAACTACTGAAAAAACAAAAAACACTCACCCTCTCTGCGATTTGCATCGCGGAAGACGCGTCGTCGGCGCTCCGCTGAGCGGCCAGCACCCTTGGGCTGCTCGCGACAGGCGTACCGTCGAACTCGCCCGACCCGGCCATCATGTTATCTCCGTCCACCTTTATGGACATCTCGCCCTCCCCGGCAGCGTCAACATCCTGGGAGTTACGTGGTAGGGGGGTGGGGGGTACTGTTGTGTAATGCATGCCTTAGCGGTTAGACCACTGATCACGCGTCCTCGAGAGGACGGAGCATTGTTCCCACAGGACCGATCACCGGTGGCCAATCGTTCCTTCCTACTTTGTCAAAGGTGGCTAAAAAATGTCGTCCCTAGTCTATCTACCCAACGATATCACAGCGCCGTTTCAAACCACTTTCTATTCCCCAGTACAGCGACCTTGTCCTCCTCCCTATTCCATGCCTGAAACATCTCCCTGTACCTCACTTGTATTTTCCCCAGCTCAGTGATGTACACTTCCCTCCCCTTTTCGTACGACTGGCATTCCGCGACTACATGAACAAGGACTTCGCGCTCGAAGCCGCCATCACATTTGAACTTGGGGAGGGGAGGGGGGGGCGCGATGTGCCGCCCAACGGTACGACAAGACCCACACACGATTGTCGGAAAGTCTGCTCCTGGAATCATGTCTTTGGAAGATATGGACACAATCATAGAAAGAACTTGTAACCGTCCAAGATATCACCGTAGTCGAAGGGCGCGTGTTTGCATCTCGCCGTAACGGCCGGGGGGAACATTCTGTAACATTTCATTCACGTTTCTCCGTGGAACGTTAACCTTAACCTCAGCCATGATACTGCATAGCTAGTGTGCCCAAGGAGCTGTAGAGCACCCACCCAGCTGCGTCGCTGTGCAACGTCCTTCCTGTTACCAAGACAATGGTGGCCACGAGGAAGGTGTTCTATTCGGCAGTCTCCAGGCCAGACCTGCTTGTGTCCGTGTAGAGACTACAGCAGTACAAGACATATCATTTCCTTCACTACCACGACCGCACCCAGCACCAACAGAAAGACATGTATAATGCCCAGCTCCAACGAGGGGTAATCGTATCAAAAATCTGCGTCAGGTGTCGACACGACCCAACCCGACCCGACCCTATCTCAACAAGCAAGCACACGGCTTCGCAGTGCCTTCAGGTGGAATCAAGACGGCGTGAAAACTGTTTTTTCTTGGAGGTGGTTTTCAGCCTGCACCTCGTATGTTGTACAGGCTTGCCGAGGAGGCCTTGAAGGCTGCCGTGCACACGTGAAGTCAATAAACGAAGCACAGGCTTCACCACCAACAATAACCTACAGTACCGCGGCAGGTGACCAAAACTACGACACCCGACACACCGCCTGCTGCGAAATCTGTTACCTGTGGATCGACGTGTACCGTGCATATCGTATATGACACAAGATAACACACCCCGTGGACCAATTTTCAACGCCCGATTACTCCACGACGAAGAGGATGCATAAACGAAACGATACATTTTTGGAAAGCTCTCGACGAGACGTGACTCTTCCTGTTGTCGAGAAATCGACATTTGAACATCGGTCCAGGGGGTGTGTTATATTGTGTCATCTACGGTATTTCTCTTTTGATTTTTCGTTGGGGGATTGTGCGCATACTCTTTGGTGCAGGTAGCCTGCGACCATGGAAGGCGTCCGCACCAGTTGCAATATAATAGGTGATCTATACTGCCAAACTACACGGGGATGGTAGGGTGCGCAGACAGATTTACTATGTTGACTCTTGATAACAAACGCAAGAGCACCAGAAAATGAACAAGAGACGCGCAAGACCAGTCGAAAGCCACCACGAAAGACAGAAGTAGTTGATTCTCGCACAGGGCGGCGGTAGAGGCTGCTCAAAAACATACATTTCACGCGTCTACCTCTACACGCCTTCTTTGAAATCAAGATACAAATTCATACCAGCCTACATTCAAGTCAAAAGAGCCCAAGCGACAGGCGCTGAACCAAGGTCGGGTTTGCATTGGATTCTACTTGATACGCATTGACCCCTTCGTGACTACACGCCGATTCGGCTCCGTTCTCAGCTCCGATCACTTTGCGTGCCAAACGATCGCCGTTGTGCTTCGGCTAAGAGCAAACAACATGCATCGAGACCAGCAGGGAGACACAGGCAGCCCACCCCACAAGCACGCTTATCAACCATGCGCACAGGACTCACATAGTACAATACTTTTCACCCATGCCTAATCTCTCTGACGTGGGGCAGGTATCATGTCCAGATCCAATCTACTGCCTACCGTTACTGAAATATTGAAACGCAAAATACCACCGGAGGGTACATACAGCACCCGAACATGTGATCAACCCAGTGCCGCATGCGCGGGGGAGAGCAGAGAAAGCGCACAGCGGAGCCGATGCTAACCTTCTGCCTCGGTGCTTGATGTTGTGATTGCGGTGCGTGTGGTTCCCAGCATTGGGAGTTGAGGGTGGTTCGTCTGCTGTGTGCAAAATTTTCGCTCAAAGGCAAGGGTTTTTGGGACTACAGCTCCGATCACAGCTCTCTATTTGCATAACAGAATAGTAAAATATTCATCACGATTTTAATGCATCTAATGCGATAGTGGATGATGGTATGATGGTCTCGATCCTCTGATGAGCGGGCCGTTTTTCTCGTCGATCTGGCGCTTCTGTGAGGCGGTTTCCCGTCAGCGTCTCCGCATCAAGTGTCGCTAGCATATGCGCTTGCCGTATGCTATGTCCAAGGACGAGGTGGAGAAGATGTGCCAACAGGTATTGCTTGCACAGGTACATACTCTGTGCGGACGGTTGCTGTCGGAGACAGGCATGCATACCAGCCTAGAAACTACTGCTGCTGTACGGTCTATTTCTCTCCGCACAGCTGCTACTGCTGTACAGCAGTACGATACTGCTGTACTCCTGTTCGTCACCCTTACATACCGTAGATGACACAACATAACACCCCCCATGGCCAATTTTCGAAGCTCGATCTCTCAACTGCAGGAACAGTCATAGCGCCGAAAACGGCGGCGTTGAAACCGTCTCGTCGAGAGCTTTACGAAAATGTATCATTTCGTCCATGCATCCTCTTCGTCGTGGAGTAATCGAGCTTTGAATATCCGTCCAGGGGGTGTGTTATCTTGTGTCACATACGGTATACCGCGTCCCCATCCCTGTGAGCCCCACACATGGACCCACTGCTGCACCATTCTTGCCGCCGTGATTTATGGGTGTACACGCATGCTTGGAAGATGTTTGACCGCAGAGAGCCCGGTGTGGGGAAGAAAAACAAAAAATTCAAATTAACCCAGTCACGAAAGAGTTAATAGCAAGATCACTAGAGGACACCATAAAGCAGCGGGGCGAGTGTGTTGGCACCCTCAAATCTGCTTCTGCGGTGGTGGTATGGAGGGTTGTAGTAGTTGTCTATATACGATCTACTCAAATTAGACCCACACCCAGCGTCTTCTACTGTGCTCTCCACCACTGACCCCAACCTCCTGAAAGGGGGTTTACAGCTGTACCTGATGCCACCAGCTACCGCTGAAGACCATCTGTTTAGGGGTTTACGGTCCGTGGCGGTGAGCACGGTTGCGACAAATGTTGGATGCTGGTTAGTTCCCGGCGCAGACTACGGACGGGTTTTAGAGACTGCTGCGATATACGATATTGCAGCTCTAATAGCAAACCTGAACGTGCCAGCACGCACAACACCTCTTTCATGGTGTCCTCTACTGATGACAGCAGTAGAATACATTGGATGAAAACCGGCGGATAGGTTGTTTTCTTTACAATGAGCCGCGGAGCGCGCAGCGCGATCTTTTTCCTTTCATCTCCCTGGAGGGAAATAAAGGCTATGAATATCGGCCTGAGTTCTGCCGCGTGTTGCAGGGGCCCAAAGTTTGATTTACGTGACGCATATTTATCGCACCTTTCGGACCAGAACGAGACCAACAGGGCACCGTTTGACGAAGTGTTCACTTCTGAGCAAGAACAAAACTTACGCGCTCGTCGTCACACCGGTTTGGTCGCGCTTCGGCAGCAGATGGCCGTGCTTCACAGGCAAATGTGACCCAAATTCGTAGGAGATCGCATCCCCGGATGCCCAGGAGTTGTGGAGAGGTAAAATGTCCAAGCCATCGGAGATTGCACACACGCACAAACTCGCGGTAGAGTTCAACCCCGGGAGGACATCACCACAGCAGCAGAAGGAGAACAACAGGACCCTGATCCGAGACCAGCTACCTTTGAAAACCAGGAGGGGCCGGGCCTAGACGACCTGCGCGCCGTGGATATAGTCATGTGCCGTGTGTAACCTGGCGGGTGTTCATTAGGAAAATAATTACACACAGAAAGACTACCAGCAATGGAGCGGTCCAACCGACTGCTTCCAAAGAAACAACAGCAGCAAGAGCCCCTCAATCTGAAAACGTCGGAACACCCCTGGGCTACGCTGCACTCTTGGTCGCGGGGGGGGATGGGCCTTATTTGTCACCGGGCGGGGACATTTTGACAAAATCCCCGGGGTTTCGACATTTTCGGGAGCTTTTTTCAGCGTGCGCGCGCGCGGAATCCCACACAGAGCTAGCGGAAGTGATGGACACTCCAAGAATACGCGTCGATCTTGGTCGCGAAGTCTAGTGCATGGTGTAGGAAATAATTGTTGCTTTTCTCCCATCATTGGATTCGGTCGTCTGCCCCTCTGGCCCCTATCCTCCACTTCTACTAGGTTTACACAGGAGGGGGGAGTTGGAGCCCCTCCTGCGGTTCCTGCTTGAGATATTTTTATCGCGAGGAGGGTACAGCAATCCCTTCCCTCGCGACTCGTGAGGTCGTTTAAGTTTACCAACAACGCGCTTTGCGCACATCGCTTCCAACGGAGACCGGGACTTCATTAGTGAGAAATAAATCACTCTGCCGGGACTCGAACCCACGACCTGGCCCTTGTAGCAGACTGCGAAGTTACCCACTACACCACCGGGGCGACCGGCTGTAGGAAATGGAATAACGATACCAACCGAACAAATGATAATTTAAATAGTTTTTTTTTTTTTGCGAAAAGAGTGGCCCGTATAGGGGTACGCTTTTTGTTTTGCAACAAAAAAGCTGTTTAGAGGGATCGTGTGTGGATGTATGTGCGCACGAAAAAAAGAATAATTTT